CTTTTCCAAATAATATCTTAGAACTTTGAAACCATGTCTGAAATCGCAGCAGCAGACTTTCAGAAGTAGATTTTGGGTAGGTTTTTTCCTAATAGGCCTTCTGTTTGACAAGGAATTTGTTAGACGATTATTTTAGTCCAGTGCTACTCACAGTAGGGTCCAGATCAGCAACCTGCAAATAGATTTTTTGCCTTTTATGAAAATTTGTGGTTCACAGCAGAATCAGCACACCACTTCCTTTACTGAGAAAGTGAAAAATTGAGCTGAACTATCAAAGGAGCATGTGATTCTTAATCTTGGGGTTGTGAATTCGAGCTCCACATTGGTGTACAGATTACTAAAAAAAAAAAAAATAATAAACTTAAAAAAAACAGCTGAGCTAAACAATGTGCTTAGGAATATTCTTGATTTACATTGTGATACAGCTTCTTATTTTATCACAGACCAGCCCATTGAGTAGTCCTCTTTTAGGACTCACTTGAGAAAATAAGTAGAATTTTGAGGGAGAACAAAGGCAGATGACTCAGAAAATTATTTTCTGATTCATATGTTTTATCAAATCAAAATCTGGCAAGCATCTCACTAAAATTAAAAACATATACTCCACAAAGGACTCCGTTAAGAGGATGAAAAGACATATTACAGACTGGGAGAAACTGTTTGCAATCTGCATATTTAGAATATGAAAAGAACTCTCAAACCTCAATAGTGAAAAATGAAACTTTCCAATTAGAAAATGAGCAGAGACACTTGAGTGGCTCAGTTGGTTAAGCATCCGACTCTTGATTTTGGCTCAAGTCATGACGTGGTTTGTGGGTATGAGCCCCGTGTTGGACTCCATGCTGACAATGTAGAGCCTGCTTGGGATTCTCTGCTCTCTCTCTCTCTCTCTCTCTCTCTCTCTCTCTCTCTCTCCCTCCCTCCCTCCCTCTCTCTCTCTCTCTCTCTTTCTCCCCCTCTCTCCCCCTCCCCCCCATCTGCCCCTCCCCTGGTCAGGCACATGCTTGCTTGCTCTCAAAGTAAATAAATAACAAAAAGAAAATGAGCAAAAGACATGAATAGACATTTCGCTAAAGGAGATGTACTGTTGGCAAAGAAGCACGTGAATGAAAAGATGCTCAACATTATTAGCCATTATGGAAATGCAAATTAAAAACACAATGAGGGGCACCTGGGTGGCTCAGTCAGTTGAGCATTGGACTCTTGATTTTTGTCTGAGGTCATGATCCTGGGGTTGTGGGATTGAGCCTGTGTTGGGCTCTGCACTGAGCATAGAGCCTGCTTAGGATTCTCTTTCTTTTTCCCTCATGCCCCTCTCCCCCGCTTGCGCGCTCTCTCTCTCAAATTAAAAAAGTATTTTAAAAAATACGCGATGAGATACCCCTACACACTTAGCAGAACAACTGAAATTTTATAGATAGTGATAACACTAAACGCTGGCAAGGATGCAGAGAACCTGGATCACCCCTGCATTGCTAGCGAGAACGTTAAATGGCACAGCCACTCTGGAACACCTTTTGATAGTTTCTAAAAGAAAACCTAAACATGCATCTGCTGTACTACCCGGCAGTTACACACCTGGGCATTTGTCCCGGAGAAGTAAAACCTTACTAGTGTTCGCACAGAACTTGTACGTGAGTGCTTATAGCAGCTTTATTTGTAAGAGCCCAAAAGCAGAAGTTAGCCAGATGTCCTTCAGTGGGTGAGGGGTTAAATGTTCACAATATATTCATACCGTGGCATATACTCAGTAACAAAAAGGAACAAACTATATATATACAGGCATGCACATACACACAGACACACACACAATAATGTCACTGGACCTCCAGAGAAGTATGCTAAGTGAAAAGCTAATTCCAAAAGGTAACATTCAGGGTGATCCCATGTATATAATGCTCCTAAAATAACATAATTATATAATCTGGAGAAAAATTAAGGGGGAAGGGTTGGGGGGAGGAGTGGGCGTGACTAAAAAGAGGTGGAAGGAGCGAGCTGTGTGGTGATGGTATAACTTTCTGTCTTGATTGTGCTGGTGGTTGCACGAAACCACCTACGTGGTAAAATTGCGTAGAAGTACACACATAAACACGCACACGCACAACCACACAAACAAATATGAGTGCATATGTAACTGATAAAATATGAATAAACCGGTTTGCCAATTTTAGGTTTTTGGTTTTGATACTGGACTACCGGGGGAGGCTTTGAAGGGTGCGTAGAACCTTCCTGTAAATTTCTTTGCAACCTCCTCTGACTCTCATTTTTCAAAATAAAAAGTTTAAGGAAAAACTTTTCCTTCTTTTTTTTTTTTTTTTTAAATGTTTTATTTATTTCTGAGAGAGAGAGAGACAGCTTGAACAGGGAGGGTCAGAGAGACAGGGAGAGATACAGAATCTGAAACCGGCTCCAGGCTCTGAGCTAGCTGTCAGCACAGAGCCCCATGCAGGGCTCGAACCCACGACCCGTGAGATCATGACCTGAGCCGAAGTCGGATGCTTAACCAACTGAGCCACCCAGGTGCCCCAAAACTTTCTCTTCTTTATGTCAGGTATAAAACCTGGTTCCTGAGGGGCCTGGGTGGCTCAGTCAGTTAAGCATCCGACTTCGGTTCAGGTCATGATTTCACGGGTCATGAGTTCTAGCCCTGTGTCGGGCTCTGTGCTGACTGACAGCTCAAAGCCTGGAGCCTATTTCAGATTCTGTGTCTCCTTCTCTTTCTACTCGTCCCCCATTCGTGCTCTGTCTCTGTCTCTGTCTCTCAATAATAAATAAAAGTAAAAAAATTTTAAAACCTGGGTTCCTGAGGATGTAGCCATAAACAGACAGGGCCTCTGCCTCAAGGATGAATGATCTTGATTATTTTAGTAGAAAACCCTGTCAAACAAGTACTGGCAAGAATAATGAATTTTATGAGAGAGGAAGTATGTGGTTTCTGTATGTGAAAGAGCATACGAAGCAAGTGAGCTTAATCTTTGGGATCAGGGATGGAACTTTTTATTTATTTAATTTTAGGTTGGCTTCATGTCCAATGTGGGGCTTGAACTCATGACCCTGAAATCAAAAGTCTTATGCTCTACCAACTGAGCCAGCCCCCAGGGATGGGACAATTTAAACAAAGACTTGAAGGGTGAAGAGTCATTGGCAGTATAAAGAGGTACAAGAAGAACATTCCAGATAGGGAATTGTAAATAAGCAGGACCAGTACTATACCACCTCTAAATACTGGTTTTTGGAAGAGAAAGACAGTTGACAGCATTAGTTATTAGACTTCAAGGATGATGGTGGAGGGGCACCTGGCTGGCTCAGTCAGTTAATTGTCCAATGTCAGCTCAGATGATGATCTCTGTGTGGGTTTGAGCCCTACTCTGGGCTCTGTGCTGACAGCTCAGAGCCTGGAGCCTGCTTCACATTCTGTGTCTCCCTCTCTCTCTGCCCCTCCCCTGCTTGCACTCTTGCTCTATCTCTCGCAAAAATTAATAAACATTCAAAAAAAAAAAGAAAAAAAGAATGATGATGATAGAGGTTCCTGGCTGGCTCAGTTGGAGGATTGACTCCTGTCAGGCTGTGACTCCTGATCTTGGGGTTGTGAGTTTGAGCCCCACGTTGGGCATAAAGATTACTTAAAAAAATAAGAAATAGTGATGATAATATTCTGTTAATGGTATTACTCCATACTTAGGTTGATGCAGCCTTACCCTTGGACATCCTGACCTACGAAGAGAAGACCTTGTCGGCCATCTTGAGGATATGCAGCAGGTACAACAGAGAGTGGCACGTTTGTGGTAAAATAGAGCAGAGAGATAGGTGGAGAAATAGAGCAAAAATGCCCTACTCTGAGTCTAAGAGTTTTGTCATTGTGAACTCTGAGCAGCTTTTGGAAGTTTAAACTGGGAATGATGTGAACATTCATCCACCGAGCTTACACTATACAGAGGAAAACTCATGATTTTCTTACAGTTGTAGTGTTTCCCAATTGATGATTGTGGTTGCAAACTCAGAAATACGCATTTTAGAAAGATTCCTGGGGCGTCTGGCTGGCTTAGCCAGAGGAGCATGTGACTCTTGATCTCGTTCAAGGTCATAAGTTCGAACCCTACGTTGAGTATAAAGATTACTTAAAAAAATAAAAATTTTTTAGAAATTCCCAATTGAGGTTCATTTTATTCTCTGCCTATAACATACTGTGCTTTTACTTTTGAAGTTTTCTCACTTAAATTGGGCTCTCTGGACCTAATTTAACTATCTGGACTTCTGCAAAAGTACTAGGGAGATGTCACCGAAACAAATCTTTATGCATTCTTGATCTCTCCGCAGTGGTCTTGTCAAATTGTGGAGCTCTTTGACTCTGTTGGGATCCTATAAAGGCAAGAAATGTGCTTTCAGAGTGATTCAGGTAAGGACCATTCCTTCACATAGTCCAAACCAGGTTGAGTAGGGATGAAACTGCTTTTTAAGACATGTCCCATTTTTGTGCCTGCATAAATCCAGGGCTCACACTATCCAGCTGGGAGCGGTGGGGAGGGATAAGGACGTCGTTGCTTCTGGAAATGTGAGACAGAGCACCTAGATTTTAGATTTTATGGGAGATGTTAGGGAATGAAACTGGAGCTCTCATGGAAAAGTCTTTTCATTTATTGCTTAATGCCTAGTGCCTTAAATGTTGGAACACTGTTTCTGAACTTATTATCACTTATTTATCTAAGGCTACCTCTGGGGATGCTCTTTAAAATGATACTGCACCAGCTTCACCTCCCCCATAAAATTAGGCATGTTTCCACACGCCCTGTGTTTCAATGCAGTTTTCTCCCAATATTTCCTTGACATCTTTTTCTTTCTCTTATAGGTTTCTCCGTTTCTTCTTGCCTTATCTGGTAACAGTAGGGAACTAGTGTTGGATTGAATAGTCTTCACTCTCAGAAACATTCCTCCACTCTCAAAAGGTGCTTTTTGGTGCCAGAATCATGTCTGAAGACTGCAGCGGTCTGCGAGCTCTGGTTGCGGGACTTTGGCAGTGCTGAAGATGTTCCCAGTAACGTGCAGCCATCGTCTTTGGCGGACTGGGCTTTGGAGGAGAATGTGCCTGAGCTGGCAGGTGCCGAGCAGGCAGCACGTTGAGCAGATGCACGTCCGAGTCGGAGACCGTGCAGAACTCAGCAGGGCCTTCACGCAGAGGGACGTGGCTGCCTTCTCAGAATTAACAGGGGATGTCAATCCTTTGCACTTAAATGAAGAGTTTGCAAAACACACCAAGTTTGGAAAGACAATTGTACATGGAGTTTTGATCAATGGACTTATTTCAGCTCTCCTGGGAACTAAAATGCCAGGGCCAGGCTGTGTTTTACTTTCACAGGAAATTAGCTTTCCAGCCCCCTTATATGTTGGAGAAGTGGTTTCAGCTTCCGCAGAAGTGAGAAAGTTGAAGCGGTTCATTGCTGTTATTGCAGTGTCGTGTTTTGTAATACAAAGTAAAAAGACCGTCATGGAAGGCTTGGTTAAAGTTATGGTCCCAGAAACTCCCAAATGCTGAGATGTGTGTAAAGATGCACATTCAGGTGCAGTGGTACTGTTAGTGAGGAGCCTCTGAACAAAATAGATTTTGCTGCTCTTCATTGAGGGATGGCTTTTAGACCCAGAAGCCTGAATTGGGGGTGGGGACCAGGGAAAGGGGTGTTCAGAGGTCCACTGTCCAATCCAGCCTTTATGCTTCACGCAGACTTGAGTATATTCATCATCTGCCTAGGTTTGGGTTTTTTTTTTTTTTTTGAGAGAGAGACAGCGCGAGCAGGGGAGGGTCAGAGAGAGAGGGAGACACAGAATCTGAAGCAGGCTCCAGGCTCTGAGCTAGCTGTCAGCACAGAGCCCATCAAACCCATGAACCATGAGATCATTACCTGAGCTGAAGTAGGACGCTTAACCAACTGAGCCACCCAGGCAACCCCTGTCTAGGTTTTTAATATTGAAAAATTTAGGTTATTTAGCTGAAGGTCTACTTTTAGGATTTCACATCTAGTTAGATTTGCATTTGGATAACACAAATCTGCCTCTGTTGTTGGAGAACAAGTTCCCCACTGGATTCATAACTAGCATTTAATTATTGAAGGCAACAACAGAAGTCAGGTCGTCTTTGAGCACCAACCTTCTACCAGTCAGCATTCTTGGATCCTGTTCAGTAATTTCCAGATGAGAGCTCATTGTAATTTGTTCCCGTTTATGCCACAAGGGTACTTGTTCCATCTTCAGTGGCATTTGCCTTCCAGATGCTTTTCCTGTTACTGGAGAACTGCATTTGGACTCCTTTATGTAAACTGTCAATCTCATGTACAAAATGAGGCTAAGGACACCTACCACACAGGATTGTTGGAGATGATAGATACAAATAGCTAAGTACAAGGTCCGCCTGTAAAGTGGCCTCTACTATCACCCTCTCCCCTGCCAGTGAGGTTTAGATATTTTCCGCAGTTTAAAGCAAACTGGTCTACAACTAAACAGATGATAAGCTAATTTTTCAGGATGTCAGTCAATCCAAACCTGGAATAGTTTGCAAAGTTTCTGTTTTAGTAATCCAGATTATTTTCTCCCTCCCTTGAAAGTACTGTGGAATCTCCCTTTTATAAATAATATATGCTTACTGTAAAAGTATTGTAAGAAATAAAATGTATAAGGAACACTGTGGAGGCCAAATTCTGGTTGTTGTTTTTTTTTAAGGTACATGTCTTTTTCTTTCCTTTTAGTTTTATTGAGACGTAATTGACATACAACACTGGGTAAGTTTAAGGTGTACAGCAAGCATAATGACTGGATTTACACATATTGTAAAACGATTAACACCATAAATTTACTTATTTATCACCTCATATAGGTCCAAAAAAGAGGGGGAAATGGTTTTTTCTTCATGAGGAAAACTTTCAGGATCTCCTCTCCAGTGTGCAGACAGCAGTGTACAGTCATCGTGTTGTACGTTACATCCCCATTCAGGTGGGTTCTTCAAGGTAGCTACTGCTCAGCTACTGCTCCTGCCCCCATTTTACAGATGAGGAAACAGAGACTCAGGCGTTAAGTAAGTTGCCCCACGTCCACCGTTAGCAGGTGGCCGAGTCAAGATTTGACTGTTTGACTCCAAGCCCACAGTCTTCAGGGTATAAAAAGCAGGGCGGCATATGAAGCTATCACAGACCACGTGCTAGGCCATGTTGGTGCTTTGCTTTCTGTTCAAGGAAGAGCTGCTTTAGCACTGGATCAGCACTGCCTTAATTTCTTTTCTCCAAAGTGAAATCTATGCCTAGGAGTAAGGAGAAGGAGAACATACTCCTAGATTCCCGTTCATCTTCCTGCGGTCCCCTCACCATGCTGTCATCACCTGGAAGGCCAGTCTGCGACCAGGAAGGCCAATGAGAACAGATGTGCCTGACAAATCTCAGGTCCCTTTCAGTTACCCAAGAACTACTGAAATTTCTGGTCATTTCTCTGCCCGTTCAGGGCAAACATGTCCACTTTGGTAGTTATGACCATCAGCTGTGTGGAGGCCAAATTCTTAAGGAGTTGAGAGGTAGTGAAAATTTAATCAGTATCAAAAAATTGATGGGTCCTGACAAGGAAATGCACCCAATGTGTTAGTACTGAGTGGTCATCCCCAATGCAGCCAATGTAACATCATTTGTAACAACGCATCCACCTCTGCTCTGTAATTTGAGATAGCGTTTCTGAGTACAGCTAGATGCTTTGATTAGGAAGATAATCACGTGTAATTGGCGGGATCAACCCTCTTTTCCTGGGAAAAGGTTTTTCTCCTACTGGTGGATCAGTAGATTTTTTTATTTCTTTCTCTTACGTCACAGGTAAGCAGATTACTAGAAAAAGTCATTCTAGGCACTAGAGAGCAGTGATGTGTACAAATAATATTTTTAAACTCTTAGGTATTGTATCATACTCTGGTCGGTGATGGGTGAGATGAAAATACTAAAATCAGTATGAGAAACAAGGGTGCCATTCCATGGGCTTCAGAATGGGCAGCTGTGTGGGCTTAGGTACTCCTGAAGAAGACTCATTTATAAGGTGAAAGACTACACAAACTGAAATTTCGATACAGCATTGAAAAACAAAATGGGAAATCTCAAAGCTAGAACAATCCTAAAATGTGTATGGAACCACAAAAGACCCCAAATAGCCAAAGTAATGTTGAGAAAGAAAACCAAAGTGGGAGGCATCACAATCCCAGACCTTAGCCTCTACTGCAAAGCTGTAATCATCAAGACACTGTGGTATTGGCACATAAATAGACACATAGCCCAATGGAATAGAATAGAGAACCCAGAATCGGACCCACAAATGTATGGCCAACTAATCTTTGACAAAGCAAGAAAGTATCCAATGGGAAAAAGTCTCTTTAGCAAATGGTGCTGGGAGAACTGGACAGTAACATGCAGAAGAATAAAACTAGACCACTTTCTTACACCATACACACAAATAAACCCAAAATGAATGAAAGACCTAAATGTGAGACAGGAAACTATCAGAACCCTAGAGGAGAAAACAGGCAACAACCTCTTTGACCTCAGCAATTTCTTACTCGACACATCTCCAAAGGCAAGGGAATTAAAAGCAAAAATAAACTATTGGGACCTCATCAAAATAGAAATCCTATGCACTGCAAAGGAAATAATCTACAAAACTAAATGGCAACCAACAGAATGGGAAAAGATATTTGCAAATGACATATTGGATAAAGGGTTAGTATCCAAAATCCGTAAAGAACTTACCAAACTCAACACCCAAAAAACAAATAATCTATGAAGAAATGGGCAGAAGACATGAATAGACACTTTTCCTCAAATAATTAAAAATAGAACTACCCTATGACCCAGCAATAACACTATTAGGAATTTATCCAAAGGATACAGGAGTGCTGATGCATAGGGGCACATGTACCCCAGTGTTTATATCAGGGCTTTCACCAACAGCCAAATTATGGAATGTCTATCAACTGTTGAATGGATAAAGATGTGGTTTATATATACAACAGGATACTACTTGGCAATGAGAAAGAATGAAACCCTGCCATTTGTACAACATGGATGGAACTGGATATTGTGCTAAGTGAAATAAGTAGGAAGGACAGATATCATATATTTTCACTCATGTGAAACTTGAGAAACAACAGAAGACCATGGAGGAAGGGAAGGTGGGGAAAATAGTTAAAAACAGAGAGGGAGGGAAGTAAACCATTAGAGACTCTTAAATACAGAGAACAAACTGAGGGTGGTTGGGTGGGGGAAAGGGGAAATTGGTGATGGGCATTGAGGAGGGCACTAGTTGGGATGAGCACTGGGTGTTGTATGTAAGCAGTGAATCACAGGAGTCTACTCCCAAACCCAAGAGCAGACTTTAAACACTGTATGTTAGCCAGCTTGACAAGAAATTAGATTAAAAAAGAAAGGAAAACAGAACATTATCAATATGGAAAAAAATGGGAACTTGAACAAAATACAGACTCAAAGCTAAAACTGCGTCTTCTTGTAGAGCTCACTCTCTGGGACTAGCAGCAGTCTTGGACTATAGTAACTACCATTCTTTCCACTATGAGCCAGTTTTCGTTTCTTTTTTTTTTTTTTTTAAACGTTTATTTATTTTTCAGTTTACCTATTTATTTTGAGAGAGAGAGAGAGAGAGAGAGAGAGAATCTCAAGCAGGCTCCATGCTATCAACACAAAGCCTAACATGGGGCTTGAACTCAGGAAACCGTGAAATCATGACCTGAGCTCAAACCAAGAGTTGGATGCTTAACCAACTGAGCCACCCAGGCACCCCTTAGATTTTATTTTTAAGTAATCTCTACACCCAGCGCAGGGCTCAAATTTATAATCCCAAGATCAAGAGATGCATGCTCCATCGACTGAGCCAGCCAGGCACCCCGATGAGCCAATTTTCTAGATTAACTCTAATCCTTGAAAACTTTGTGAATTAAAGTTAATGTCCCATTTTAAAGACAAGGAAACAGACTGTGTGTGTGACTTGCCCAAGGCTGTACAGCTAGCATGCAGTAGAGTGGGATGCAAATGGGGGCCTGCCTGGCTCCAAAGCATTTCTTCCATCTCCCTGTGGGTTTTAGAATCCCATTACTGGAGCACTGTCAGTTTTCATAATGGTATCTTGTTATGTGGCATTAAATTATTTGGAACCACCATTGTATAGAATTCCTTTTATATTCAAAATGTGCTAGATCTCATTCCCTGCTAAGTTTAGCATTTTCCAAATACAATTACTTGATGGCTTCCACCCATAACTGTCACTTACTGTTTTTCTCAGTTGACATTCAGTGATTACTTGTCTTTAGAGCAGAATTACTGAAAGCATTATTCCAAAGGTGAAAAGTTATGTGTAGGCCAAGTATGGTGGGGGAAGGGAGAGGTACCAGATCTGGCTGATAACTGGTTCATACTACATAATCCAAAAGTAGCTTCTCAATATGAGCTCTTGCTTGCTTGCTTCCTTGCTTTCCTTGCTTCTTTCCTGCTTGCTGGGTGCTATAGTCTTCTTTGATCTTCGTAAATAAAAAAAAAGTTGAAATTGAGAAGTAGGTAAGGAGGGAATAGTTCTCTGTAAGTGATGACTTCCTATTTTTATTCAGAGACCCTCAAACCACTCATGGTTTGTAAAAGCTGGCTATAAAGGAAGCTGGCCGGTTGTCTCTCTCATGTTGAGCCCTG